AGAAAGAAAGAAAGAAAGAAAGAAAGAAAGAAAGAAAGAAAGAAAGAAAGAAATGCTGTCTTAACTTTGAATTTTAAGGAAATTTCCCCTTATCATTAGAAATATTTTCTTTCATGCAGGGTATGATGATGTATGCTTATAGTCACAACATTTGGTAGGCTGAGGCAGGAGGATCACAAGTGTGGGCTATCTTGGGCTACATGGCATGACTATCCTGCAAAAATAATTTTTTTCCAGACTAGAAGGTTGCTCAGAAGTGAATACCTAGTCTTCAGTGAGTATTAGTAAAATCTAGTCAGCACCTATGCTGTGCTGTGTACTCTACGCAATGCGGTTACTTGTCCGTATTTGTATGTAGGGTTATCAAGGGCTGACAAGCCACATCACCTCGAGGACTAGGCTAGTCTGAGGATGGATGAGAGCAGAATCTGTTTACTGTGGACTCAGTAGTGGACCACAAGGACACCAATGGGACTAAGTGATAGGGCCCAGGGTGTGGCTCAGTAGTGGAGCCTGTATTCTGTGTACCCAAGGCTCTGGACTCCATCCCCAGCACTAAGGAACAAGACAAACATAGCACATAGCATGTTAGAATAGCTCTGGCTTTTGGAGCCTCCCCTCCCTGCATGAGCAGAATAGACTGGGAGCCCAATGAAGGCCAGAAGCTTGGTACACTATTTTTCAGGCTACCTGTATCAGTCAAAAATCCACATTTGGGGTTCCTATTTTATTCCCACCACAAATACATAATATAGTTACTCATGCGCTTGTTTTATTTCATCGGCATTGGGGCTACCCAGAAGTCAGTGCTCAAAGTGGCTCAGAAAGTCACTCAGGAAAAGCTTAATGAAAAAAACTCAGTAGCACTGTATTGCTCATGAAATGCTCATACAAGGGGGAATTTGTTTACCTAGCTGATAGACCACAGAAATAGGGTTATAACACGCACACCGCCCCTTTTTTAATATTTATTTATTTATTTATTGGTTTTTCGAGACAGGGTTTCTTTGTGTAGTCCTGGCTGTCCTGGAACTCACTCTGTAGACCAGGCTGGCCTCGAACTCAGAAATCTGCCTGCCTCTGCCTCCCAAGTGCTGGGATTAAAGGCATGCGCCACCACTGCCCAGCACTCCCCCTTTTTTTTAAAGACAGAGTCTCATGTAGCCCAGGCTGGCCTTCACTCCTAGCCACTACCTCTCCAGTGCTAGTGTACTAGCTGGTTTTGTGTGTCAACTTGACACAAGCTGGAGTTATCACAGAGAAAGGAGCCTCCCTTAAGGAAATGCCTCCATGAGATCCAGCTGTAAGGCATTTTCTCAATTAGTGATCAAGGGGGGAGGGTCCATTGTGGGTGGTGCCATCCCTGGGCTGATAGTCTTGGGTTCTGTAAAACAGCAAGCTGAGCAAGACAGGGGAAGCAAGCCAGTAAGCAGCACCCCTCCATGGCCTCTGCCTCAGCTCCTGCCTCCAGGTTCCTGCCCTGTGTGAGTTCCAGTCCTGACTTCCTTTGGTGATGAACAGCACTGTGGAAGTGTAAGGTGAATAAACCCTTTCCTCCCCAACTTGCTTCTCGGTCATGCATGATGTTTTGTGCAGGAAAGACACCTAAGTTATTAGGCCACTCTTCCACACCCATCTATCCTGAGACTCTCTTTCATATCCCTGGTACTTCAGATTTAATCTGTTTTGTGTTAGAAGTGTTTTTGCCTGTGTGTGTGTATTTGTACACCATGTGTGTAGTGCCTGCAAAGGCCAGAAGAGGGAGTCAAAGCCCCCAGAACTGAAGTCACACATGGCTGTGAGCCAGCATATAGGAGCTAGGAACCAAACTGAATCCTTTATAAGAGCAAGGAGCCCAGAACATTCCCATCCGTCCAGCCCCTCTAGCATTTGTTTAAAGAGGTTTCTTCCCGAACACATTTTGGTATCTGTTCTCCCAGTGTGAAGTCTTAGAAAATAAACTGATAGCAGTACATTTCATAATAAATTTTATAAGACAACACAGTGAATTTCAAATTTTTGGAATAGTTTTCATAAAAAAAGTAACAAAAACACAAGAGATACTGAAATGACCGGCCGAACCAGGAATACTCAGAGGAAAAGGCTCCCTCCCGGGTGTCTCAGCTTCCTCTCCTGACGCAGTCATCGCCAGGGCGGCTCTCCTTACGGAGCCAGCCTCAAGTCTCCTGACTTCAATGCACTTCGTTTCATGAAAATGACACGAACCATTTTAAATCACTTAAAACAAGAACAGAGAGGTAGCATCCTCGGGGCAGCCTTCCAATACAGAACAAACACACCACACACATATGCTGTACACTTCCGTATTTATAGATGGAGGCTTGCCATTATACAAAACTAACAAGCTAGGCCAGGAGAGGCCATCCATGCCTAGAAATCCAGCACTCATGAGGGTATGGCTGGAGGGTTTTGAGTTGTCTGAGGCCATCCTGGGCTGCATAAAGATACTATCTCAAAAAAAAAAAAAAAAAAGAAAAAGAAAAAGAAAACAAAGAAAAGAAAAAAGAAATTAGCTCTCTATACCCATCCATCAGGTACACTAACTTCAGTGTACTTCATATACATTTAAATTTGGAATGGGGCCAAAGCAAGAAAAACACAAGGAACCCTAGGCTGTTAATTAAAAAAAAAAAAGAAAAAAAATCAAAATATTAATTATTGTAAATATTATCAAATGAAAACCAACCCCGGATTAACAAAACAACCTTATGATTAGATACATAAGTTTTTTGTTTTTTGTTTTTTTTTTTTTTTGGTTTTTCGAGACAGGGTTTCTCTGTGTAGCCCTGGCTGTCCTGGAACTCACTCTGTAGACCAGGCTGGCCTCGAACTCTGAAATCTGCCTGCCTCTGTCTCCCAAGTGCTGGGATTAAAGGCGAGTGCCACCACTGCCCGGCGTTCTTTTTGTTTGTTTGTTTAACTGGCAATTTACAACATTAGAAGTTCCTGATTAAAGTACGGAAATCTATAAAGCTGGAGCAGGAAGTAAACTTGATTGGTTCCTCCCAGAGGCCTGCTGGTCGGACGGCTAGCCACACGAGCCCCTGGGCTCTCAGCGCAGGGTGACCAGCTCTTCTGAAGAGGTAGGATGAATGGCGACGGTGTTGTCGAAGTCGGCCTTGGTGGCCCCCATTTTCACTGCCACAGCGAAGCCCTGCAGCATCTCATCACACCCAATTCCCTGCATGTGGATGCCAACCACCTGCGAGGAAACAGAAATTACGGATGTCAGGTCTTTATATCCAAAGTCAGTGTAAGCAGGCCCAGGAGGCAGGCAGGCCCAGGAGGCAGGCCTCTGCAGCCCCGCTTGAGCAGCTCCTCCCAGCACACACCGGACATTTCTTACTCTTGCTTTCTTCCTGGCCCACGCAGTTCTCTTTGAACACAATGTCTCTGGGTCGTGCTGTATAAGCTTGGCTGGCCTCAAACTCCTGATCCTCCTGCCTCAGCCTCCTCAGTGCTGGGATCATGATCTACACCTACACTACCATGCCTGGCTTTCCTCTCTCCTAAGAGCTAAGTGTGTTCATTAACCAGACAGCTGCAGACGCATGCCTTCTGGGCTCAGCTAAGTCTGTCCTCTGCTTGCTGAACGCCAGTCGTTCTGTGAAGTCACAATGTTATGTATTCTTGGGGACTATACAATTATAATAATTCAACCCCTGTTTCTGTTGCAAGAGCAAGAACTCCTGAATTTAAGCTATAAAAGAACCTGGGAGCCTACATGCCAGAGGGAGACCCTGGTAGAATGTGAAGAGAAAGGTGGGGTCCTGCTGACACTGATGTGCCAACCGTAGGCATCGAGGATAGATCCGGGCAGCAGGCTGTGTTCTACTGCTGTACTAAAAACCACAGACTATGTCTTGGGGCTTTGAAGCCCATCAAATCAGATATGAAACTTGTAATTATTAAGAACTGAAGTTGAAAACTATTACTATAGCTAAATTTTTAAAATACATTTGTTTTTTTAAAAAGATTTATTTATTTCATGTATGTGAGTACACTGTAGCTGTCTTCAGACACATCAGAAGAGGGCATCAGATCCGATTGCAGATGGCTGTGAGCCACCATGTGGTTGCTGGGAAATGAACTCAGGACCTCTGGGAGAGCAGTCAGTGCTCTTAACCACTGAGCCATCTCTCCAGCCCCTTAAAATGCATTTGTATTCATGTTTATTTCACTGTGTGCTGGGGGAGGGTTACCCAGAGAGCACTGAGCAGGTCCAGGAGGGAGTGATCAGGTCTGTGGGCTATTTTCTGTATCAGTAGAGGTCAGGGAAAAACTCCTGGGATTCATTCTCTCTGCCATCCTATAGAATCAGGGGATCGGCATTAGGTCATCAGGCCTTCCAGCAAGCACCTCTACCTGTTGGGGTCATCTTATAACATAATGCCACAGCTAGGTACTGGCAGCATGTGGTGTGATCTTACAAGTCGGGAGGTTGAGGCACAAAAATCAGGATATATGGACCAGGCAATGTGGTAAGAGCCGGCTTCAAAAACCCAAGCAAAAAGAAATACTTCCCATAAGCCTTGACATTCGGCCACACTCCTCAAGATTTAATTCAACTACAAGAAACAGCTTAATAAGCTTGAGAATCCAAACTAAACCTGTTTTTTAAACTATACAAGAAAACCCATTCAAACACTGCTCAAAACTACTGAGAGATCACATGACACCCACCGAAGTGGCTTTATCAAAAAAGACACTGGTGAAGATGTAGGGAAATGGAAAACTTGCTGGGGAGACAGAAAATCCTTCGAAACACCAAAACCCATGTGGCGGACCCTCAGAAAGGTACACCAAGAGACAGTAACTTTCAAAAAATGATCGACTACATTTCCACTTACTGTTTTATTACTTGAAGTTTTGTCTTATATTTGAAATACATTTACCACTACATTTTAAAAGTGTTTATTTCGCATTTTTTTAAGTGTTTATCGGCGTCTCTGTAATTCTGTACACACGTCCCCTCAGTAGGCCTGAAGAAGGTTCCAGATCCTCTTAGGGCTACAGTTACAGGTGGGCGAGAACCACCTGACTGAGGTGGGTGCTCGACACAGGATCATCTTTCCAGGCCCCCTTTCCCAGTATTTCTGAGCGTCCTGTCTCTTTTGGACCAGTGGTCAATCATCTTTATCTTTACAATAGTCGCTGTGCTTTGCAATGCTGAGACTGAGACCTCACTTTTAAAAAGGAAACAGAATCTCTTTTCAAATAGAAGGAGCCCAGAACACCTGTAAGAGACCGCATTTTCCCAGTACCTTTTCCTCTTTGTTGGCACAAACCATCTTCATGACGCATCTCGTCTTCCTCGTGGTCACGGCGTGATACATCGGGGTAAAGGCGGTTGAGTAGATTTTCACATTGTCTTTCCCGTACTTATGAACGGCTTCGTCTACAATGCGTGTGAAGGAAAATATTCCATCAGGAACTATCTCAGAGAGCTACCAGAGGGTGATGGCCAGAAACAGACCTGAATCAAACAAACAGAAAGCATCCGACCACACCAAAGTGAAGGGCATTCTACAGAATAAATGTCCATGTCACATCAGACACAGAGGAACTGTGTCTCTGATTAAGTGAGACCAAGCCGCCTGCAGTAAATTATGCTAGACTGAATTCTGGACTGTGAGTGGGGGGCTGTGTTTCAAGTGATATTTGAGATGGCTGGCAAAAATTGTCCAAAGTCTAAAGTGTAAATAATACTTTATTAATTAATTTAAAAAACTAATTAACATTGGTTTTCTCATCTTGAAACTATATATAAGTGAAGACCTGTGTTCTTAAAAAAATAAGATGTGGAGACAGAGGGCTCTGTGGGTAAGAGCACTGACTGCTCTTCCAAAGGTCCTGAGTTCAATTCCCAGCAACCACATGGTTACATTACAGATGGTGGCTCATAACCATCTGTAATGGGATCCGATACCCTCTTCTGGTGTGTTTGAAGACAGCTATAGTGTACTCATATACATAAAATAAATAAATTTTTAAAAAAATTAAAAAAAAAGATGTACATTGTATATATCAGCTGCAAAAATTATAAGGAAAATTAATAAGGACACAGGAGTCCTTTGTTTTCTTGGTTTTTGTTTGTTTGTTTGTTTTTTGTTTTTCGAGACAGGGTTTCTCTGTATAGCTCTCGCTGTCCTGGAACTCACTATGTAGACCAGGCTGGCCTCAAACTCAGAAATCCACCTGCCTCTGCCTCCCAGGTGCTGGGATTAAAGGCGAGAGCCACCACTGCCCGGCAAGTCCTTTGTTTTCTTTTGGCAACTTTTAAGTTATTTAAGTATAAAGAGGGCCAGGGGGAAGAGGGACCAGAAACAGAGATGCACGGGCCTTAGGAATCACCCTCTCCAAGTTCTCCTGGCCTGAGAACTATGACTGCAGACTAAACAAAAGGACCTGTGTAACTTGGGAGACAGTTATTTGGGCCAACACAGTTTAGAGAAGAAACCACAAATTACCTTCATTATCAAATACTTACCTTCAGTGAGCCCCACGGTCCCAATAGGGGGGTGGCTGAAGACCACGGTAGGGATGTTGTCATAGTCTAATTTGGAATCTTGTTTGCATTCAAAAAGTCTATGGGCAAGTTTCCGGCCAGCAGCGATTGCAACTGCAGTGATACAAAAGCCAGTGTGTGTTCTGCTGTTTATTTAAACATTGCAGCACTGTTCCAACAGCCATTTACTGGTCGGGCAAGACTCTGACCAACTCTACATCAATGTCATTGTCATGTCTACTTTAACATAATGAAAACCTAGTGTTACCATCATGAGCAATTCAAAATGACTGGCTTAACAAACTCTGTGCATTCTATCATGAAGAAAAGGAACACATCCTTAAATTCATAACCACCTAGGAGTTAAGCTGCTTAATGATGCCATTAGCGTTCTGGCAGGATATTTATAGAACAAACCAATTTGGCCCATTTATATTTCTACTTTTGGTAACTAAAAAGCTTGCTTATGTTTGGCCTGTTTTTATTCCTATGTCTTCCCCTAAAAGGCCAGAATCCAAAAAGTGTATCAGTTATTAATTTACTGATATATAATTAGCAGCCCCCCCCCCAAGACAAGGTAGTCGGAGACATCTTTAGATGATACGAGGATGTCTTTTTTTCAAAGTCTTGTCAAAGGACATAAAATTTTGGTTAGGATAATTATTTCAAGAGATCTAATGCACAGCATGGTAACTTCTGTTAATAATATAAATACATAATTAAGTATACAATCTATTGTATAGTTAACAATTGTTGAGAGTAGTTATGCGATCCTTTAATCCCAGACCTGGGAGACAGAAGCAGGTAGATCTCTGAGTTCGAGGCTAGCCTAGTCTAGGGAGTGAGTTCCAGGACAGCCAGGGCTACACAGAGAAACCCTGTCTTGAAAGACCATAAAACCCAACCAACCAACAAACAACCCAAATGAGAAACCACCAAGAGTAGATTTTAATTATTTTTCACAATAAAAAAGCCTATGAGGTAATAAATGTTGGCTAGGTTGACTAAGCTCTCCACAAAATGGAAATATTTTAAAATGTTGTATTGTGTGTCACAAATCTATCACTTTGATTTAAAACAATGGAGAAAGAGAACAGGCTTTCACATTGAGGTAAGACCTTAGGACATTTGAGAAGTCTGGTGAGGTCTCACAGAAGGATAGACCAAGAGCAGAAAATGACATAGCAACCAGGTGTGGCAAACGTCTTGGATATGATCCTGAAGTGGGTTAGGTATAGGGATGAGGAGGGCAAGACATCAGAGCTGGTGGCACCAACACCACTCACTCAAGCATGCCTGCTATCTGAGACACAAGCCTTCAGAAGGCAACCTCTATGAAAGGCCTTCTTTGTTAAGGCTTAGGACAAATGTTAAGGTCTGGGTAACTGGTACCTGACTCCCCGCCATTTTGTGCTATTACTAATAAGGAAACTTTCCCATGCTTTAGTTAATTGCCAATTCTGTTATGTTCTGTGCTTTGGTGTCTTTGGAAACCAATCACAACAGAAGTCGGTTAGAATGGCTTTGTATAGTTAGCCACAGTAAGCTTGACCCGAACCAACCACCAGGCAGCACTTCCTGTACCCATGTATAAATTTTTATGCTTTTTGCTTTTATAAGCTGCCCCTAGGGTGAACCCCAACATAAGAAAAACACCTGCACCAATTTAAGAAACCATTTGGAATACGACTTCCATTTTGAGTAGGGGTTAGTTAAAGTTTAAACTCCCAAGACCTCCCTGGGAACTAGCATCCTACTTGGCAGAAAGAGACATGTACGTGGGGTAACTGACATCCTGGTTGGCAAGTTAAGACATGAATGCTGGACATGACAAGTCCCATCCTTGTTGGCAAGTTAAGACATTAATATTAGACAAGTCCCTCACCACAGTTGAATACTCCATCCAATGAGGAGAGGATAAATGTACAACAAAGCCAGGCTCCTAAGGAAGCCCCCTGTCCCTAAATCCTGACTGGTGAATTAACTTGGCACAGATGTTTGTGGATTTCAAGGCTTAAAGGATCTGTAGGATCCTGACTCGTGGTCACAGCCAGCTCTCAAGTCTCATCTGTGGCCCTGATTCGTCAGTCCTGGGGTGAATGTTCAGTAAATGATCCCTGTCTGACTGAGACCAGTGTTTGTGTGGTTTATGAGATGACTTCTGGACACCAACATTCTTTATGAAGATCTCAGAATTAGCTAATCATATAACTATTTGTGGTGGTTAATTCTCCTTGTCCACTTGACTGGATTTAGAATCAACTGGGAGACAGAGCCCTTGATGTATCTATGAGGACTTTTCCAGAGAGGTTTAACTGAGGAGAGCGGACCTGCCCTGAATAGGGCAACACCATCCCTTGGGCTGGCATCCTGGACTGGACAGAGGGAAACAGGAGGGAGCAAGCTGAACACTAACATTTGTCTCTCTCTGCTTCGTGAGCGTGGACACACCGTGACCAGCAACCACATGCTCCTGCTGCCTTGCCCTGCCCGATGTGATAGTCTAGGGATCCAACACCCTAGAGCCAACCCTTCCTTCCTTAAGATGCCTTTTTTTCAGTATCTTGTGACAGCAATGAGAAAAATCAACAAATTCAGCTTTCTAAGGAGTCATGAATTTTATTCAGCAAATGTGCAGTATCTGGCCTCCCTCTCCTTCGGTGTTGTTTTGATGACAAAGAAATGACCGCTTTTAACATTGCTGTCGTGAATGTGACTGAAAAGCTGGGCAGGGTTAGATAATACACAGGCCTCTCCTCCTGAGATAGGAAGCAGCGTTACCTGGGGTGAGGAGTGCTTTCCCACAGACGTCTCCCACAGCATAGACGCCTTTGACATTGGTGTTCTGGAATTCGTCGACTAGGATATGGCCTTTTTTATCAGTCTGAATGCCCTAAAATCACAAAGGGACACCTGGTAAATACTGGGGCCATCTGTAATGGTACATCAGATCTCTGAGATGGGCTGATTGCACATCTGCACCTCCAGAAACTCACAGAACTTAACAGCAACATGTACATGACTTCGAGCTGACAAGTTCCAGAGCTCCCTTAATATAAAAGATGACCGGTCTTGTCGACTACCGAGGTACTTAATGGGATGACACTGATCCAGCAAGCATGAAAAGGAGTGACAAAAAAATACCAGAAAAAAAAGAAAAAGAGCTCACCTGTTGTAATCCCAGTACTTGGGAAACAGAGGCAGGCAGATCTGAGTTCGAGACCAGCTTGGTCTACACAGTGAGTTTGGGACAGCCAGGACACAGGGAAAGCCTGTCTTGGAAAACAAAAAAAACAAACAAACAAAAACAAAAAGGAGGAGAAAGAAAAAAAGGAGGAGGAAGAATAGAAGGAGGAGGAGAAAAAAAGAAATATACTATCATACTTGACCCTCTGGAGATCCTCTAAAACAGTGCTAATGTACTAAGTGCTTGCTAGTACTTGCTAGTGTCTTGTTTAACTTTGCACATGCTAGGGGCCTTTGGGAAGAGAGAACTTCAACTAAGAAAATGTTCCCACCAGACTGGCTTGTAGGCAAGCCTGTAGGGCTTAATGACTGATGTGGGTGGGGCCAGCTCACTGGGGGCGGGGCCATCTCAGGCAGGTGATGCGGCCTTGTGTAATAAAGGGGGCGGAGCAAGCGATGAGGGGCAAGCCAGTGCACAGCACTCCCCCAAGGCTTCTGCGTTTGTTCCTGCTGCCAGGTTCCTGACTTGAGTTCCTGCCCTGAGTTCTCTGGATGACATTCTATGTAAGCTGAAATAAACCCACTGCTCTCCGGGTGGCTTTTGGTCATGCTGTTTTATCACAGCCATAGAAAGCTATCTCGGTTATCTAGAGGGTCACAACCTGAAACAGTTGCCAAAGGCATTTCCTTTTGAAGTTACCATCTTATTTTTAACAATCTTAGCAAAGTCTGTATTCTACTCCAAATCACGCTATTTTGTACAACCGAACAGACTTCCTTTTCTGGTGGGTCATCTCTCCTCTAAGAAGTGTTAGGTTTATTCTGTAGCTTTGCAGATCTGAGAGACATAATGTTCCAGTGCGAGAAGGAAAGGGAGAACATCGTGGCTAAGAACAGTTATTGAACTGGAGGCCAACCTCGTCTACTTAGCCAATTCCAAGGCCAGCTGTGGCTACGTGGTGAGACCCAGCCTCAATCAAAAATGAGTATCTATATTTATTTATATAAATCTGCATACATATATATTCATATATATGAATTATATGACCTATATTATATGTATAATATATTCGTGTGTATCTGTATCCATGTAAATATAGAGATTAACACAATCTCTGAAGCTGGGATATGGCTCCATGGTACAGCACATGCTTAGCTTGTACCAGACCCTGGCTCTGACTCCCAGCGCCACTGAAAGAGACAGACAGACACATCCTTTGAACCCAGACAGACCGGACTGAATTCCTAGCCTGTCACATATGTAGTTACATATGTAACTACTTCACAAAATATATATTTGAGCTTCTAATGAGGTCCACTTGGCCACTAAAACACAGTAGTGGCTGGACAGACTCCTATGCCAGCCTGGCCTGTTATGTACTGAGCCCGTCTCCTGGTTTCCTCACCCTTGTTACGGGCAAGGCTTACTAGTTGAGCAACGCGCTGTCACGACCCGGCCCACAGTAGTCATTCAACCTGCACTCAGCGGACCCAGCTCAACTTTTAATAGGATGACAATGAACCTTCCTGTGAGCTGGGGAAGCAGGGAGGCTGGGAGAACGCTTGTCCGGCATGCTGAAGCCTTGGGTTTGACCTGCAGCATCAGTGCAAGTCTGCATTCCCACAATTTGGGAAGTAGAGGCGGGAGGATAAGAAATTGAAAGGTGAAATTAGAAGATGGCTCTGAAGATAAAGAGCTCATGCCAGGTGGTGGTGGCGCACGCCTTTAATCCCAGCACTTGGGAGGCAGAGGCAGGAGGATTTCTGAGTTTGAGGCCAGCCTGGTCTACAGAGTGAGTTCCAGGACAGCCAGGACTACACAGAGAAACCCTGTCTCGAAAAAAACAAAAACAAAAACAAAAAAAAAAGAGCTCGCTAGGCAAGCAAGAAGACCTGAGTTCAATCCCCATTGAGTATGGACAAGCCAGGCGTCCAATGAGTACACTGTTGCTGTCTTCAGACACCCCATAAGAGGGCATCAGATCCCATTACAGATGGTTGTGAGCCACCATGTGGTTGCTGGGAATTGAACTCAGGACCTCTGGAAGAGCAGTCAGTGCTCTTAACCACTGAGCCATCTCTCCAGCCCCCAAATCCAATTCTTATCACTGCCAAAAAGAAGGGAGAGGGAAGAGAGGAAGGGGAGGTGGGCGGGAAGCTGTGGCAGTGCTTATCCACTAACCCCAACATTTAGAAGTCTTCTAGAAGGAAGCCAGTCAGGAAGTGGCTGCACGATCTGGATCAGATCCCTTCCATCTAACAGGAGACCTGGCCCAGGGTGAGAACACCAGGAAGGAGAAGTATCCAAAGCAAGCGCTTGCTGACAAAGCACATGGATGGGGAGACAAAAGGTCACGGTGCTCGCAGGAGACCGAAGACCACCCAGGATGGACTGAGTCTCATTCATAACTCATCCACAAGCTTACCAGTTTATCTAGATTCAGGCCCTTAGAGTTTGGGTCCCGTCCAATGGCCCAGAGTAGGCAGTCAACATCTGGAATCACAGTTGTGGTGGGCTTCCTACCAGGAACGGCAGTAACCACTTGGAGTTCCAAGCCTGACGATGTCTTTTTTACTTCCTTAACCTATTTTTAAAAAAAAAAAATGTGTTAAGTATGTGTGGGAGGAGAGGGGAGAAAGTAGTATCAAAGCAAAGCAAGAGGAAACTGGATTCACCTTGTCCCCCAGTACTGGAGATTGAACCTAGGACTCCATTCACGAGAGGCAAGAATTCAACCACTGAGCTAGATCCCCGCCCTCTTTTTTACTTCATGGGATCTCACCAATAGCATAGGCTGGCCTTAAACTTACTCCATAGTTCAGCCATGTCTTGAACTCATGGTCCTCCTGTCTCAGCTTACAGAGGAGCTGGGAGTTTAGACCTAAGCCACCAGGCACATAGTAAAACCAGATGTTTGTGTTTTCTGTTTTGAGACAGAATCTCAATCTATATCCCAGACTGACCTCAAATCTGGATCAATTTTTCTGCCCCAGACTCCTAAGTGCTGGGATTACAAGGTTGGTCCATTAAACCCAGTTAGAATTTTTAACACTTATTTATAGCTGAAACAGAGTATTTTTTTTTAAACTTTATTTATTTATTTATTTATTAATTATAAGCACACTGTAGCTGTCTTCAGACACCCCACAAGAGGGCATCAGATCTCATTGCAGATGGTTGTGAGCCACCATGTGGTTGCTGGGATTTTGAACTCATGACCTCTGGAAGAGCAGTCAGTGCTCTTAACCACTGAGCCATCTCACCAGCCCTGAAACAGAGTATTTAATTTTAGCCAAAGGCCAAACTCCAAACAGACACCAAACTCTCCAGAGCCAGGCCTGTTTCCTTGCTTGTCTAATTCTTCCAATGGCCAGAAATGCTGGCTTACATTGTTGTATGTGATGGTTGAAATGAGAACGGCCCCCACAGGGGCCTGACCTTGGTCCTCACCTTGGTCCCGACTTGAACCCACAGGAGTAAGTGTACGGAATGGCAAGATACGGAGGCAGAGGATGGGATGAGAAATAACAGAACACTCGGATAAGGAAGTCTGCATGAGCTAATGGTCCATTACAGCTCATTAAGAATTGTAACATTATGTAGTCTATTTGCAGGGGAAACATGGGACAATATCAGCCGAAAGCCATCACACAAGGGGACATGGTCATCAGGAAGCTAGCAGAGTCACAGACGGAGCACTCGGTGGCCTTGGGACTGACAGAGTCCCTGTGTAATGGTGAAGAGTTGGGTTCCCAGACTCTGAAGCTGCAGCTCCCCTGAGGCCCTGGCTTCAGGCCATTACTGGCCTTGCCAAGCATATTCTGGGTGTTAGGCAAGAATTGGGTTTCTTTCCCATACATCAGGGCCTCAGGGAAAGTCTTGGGTTGGCTTGGCTCCCAACACGATTCCTAGTTGGTGGATCTGTTTTAGAAATGATCAAGAGTGTGGCCTTGTTGGAGGGGTTATGTCCCTGGGAATGGACTTAAGAGTTTTCAGAAGCCCAAGCTAGGGCCATCGGTAGGTCTGTCTGTCTGTCTGTCTGTCTGTCTGTCTCTCTCTCTCTGCCTCCTGCTTGTGGATAAGATGTGATCCTGTAACTACTGCTCCAGCACATGCCTGCCAACCTGCCGCCATGATTCCGTAACAGAGGTCAGAGACTCACTCTCTGAAACTATAAACAAGCCCCCAGTCAATTAAACGCTTTCTTTTATAAGTTGGTCACAGCAACGGAACAGTCACTAAGCCAGCACAGAAATGCTACAGCATTAAATATACATAAATATATTTGTTTGCTTGCTTATTTATTCATTTATTTATTTCTGGGGCCAGAGAGGTGGTCAGAGGACCCCAGTTTGGTTCCAAACATATTGGGAAGCTCATAACTGCCTGTAAGTCCACCTCTAGAGAAATCCAACACAGCTGGCCTCCCCTCCAAGGATACCTGTACTCGTGTGTGTGTGTGTGTGTGTGTGTGTGTGTGTGTGTATGTGTATGTGTATATGTGTTTTGATTTCATGTATGTCTTGTGAACTACCTGTGTGCCGTGCCCACAGTGGCCAGAAGAGGGCATCCTATCCCACCTTGGAAGTGAAATTCCAGACAGCTTTGAGCTGCCATCCCCATATAACCCATGTGCCTCCTGAATACTTCAAATCAACTTCAGGCTGCTTATCACGCCAAGCACATGTAAATGTCACGTTATAGTTGATTGTTAGTCTGTATTATTTAGAAAAGAATGAAAAAAAAAAAACAAACCCCTGGACATGTTGAGTAGAGACACCCTTTTATTTCATATATTTACAACCCGGTTGTGGATGGATAGTCAGTTGTAGAGGCCATCCCTATAGGTACCCGGCTCATCACTTAACGAAGCTCTCCAAAGTGGTACTGATGGAAACCCCTTCATTTCTGCACCTCAAAGCACACTGTCATTAATTACTCTACTCAATACTGGCTATGCTGAAAGGGTAGCGCAGACCTGAAAAGGGGGACAGTCATACTTACCAGGCTAGTTCTCTAGAAAAATTCTACTGAAATTTAAGTCATTTCTTGAGGAAGAGAATACTTTGTAATGCTTTGGTTACATTGAATAAAATAGATAAAATAATTTTTAAAGGCCATACACTTGGAAATTTGATTTCTTGCTGTCTTAAAAAATCTGAAAAATAAATATGTGCAGAAGGGTTCACGAGAACAAACATTAAAAAGTTTTTGTTTGAGACTCAACTGCCAGCTTCCTTGTTTTTTACACCTTGACTTCCTGGATATGAAATCCAGCTTTTTAAGACAGAAGCCATTTGGCAGAAGCTGGGTGTTGCAGTGCACGTCTGTAACACCAGCACTTGGGAGGCTAAAGCAGGAGGGTTGTGAGTTCAAGTCTAGCCTGGACTGTAAAGCAAGATCCTATCGAGTGACCATTAAAAAAACAACAACAACAACAACAACAAAAAAACCAACCACTCACCACAAAACACAAACATATACAAACAAGGGAGCATGGGGTGTGGGGGTGTGGGGTGGGTATAGGTATGAGTGTGGGGTGTAGGTATGGGGTGTAGGTGTGGGTGTGGGGTGTAGAATGTAGGTGTAGGTGTGGGTGTGAGTGTGGGGTGTAGGGCTCATTGCTAGAGATGGCTAAGAGGTTAAGAGCTGCTCACAGAGGACCCAAAGTCGATTCTCAGCACCCACACGGCCACTCACAACCGCCTGTAACTCCAGTACCACAGGATCCAACACACTCTTCTGGTTTTCCAAGTCTCCAGGCAAACACACAGCGCACAGACATCCATGAAGACAAAACATCCACACACATTAAAAAAGAGAGAACGGAAGGAAGTCACCGGCACTAGGATCAGAAGCAGGCTAAGCTACAGGAGAGGAACACACACTGGCAGAGGGGCAGCTCATCGGACGGCAGCATGTACCTGTGAGAACTTCAACACCTCCACACCAGCATTCTCCAGCTCCTCGGTGCAGTTGGAACTGATGAGAGAATCAAAGCTTCTAAGAACCTGTAGTCACCATGGGCAGCACAGGGAGGGGCAGGTGGAGGGAAAGAAAGAAAACCTGATTAGAGCCGAGTAGCACAGGCTTGGGCGAGTGGCTCCAGTGCACTGTTACCCTTCCTCCTACCGCCTCCTTCACGCATGCTCACACTGGCACAGCTTAGCGGACCTCCACTAGCTTGTGTCACCAGAGTCTGTGCTGTATCTGGTTTCATCAAGACTTATTTCAGAGTTCTGGAACATGAGCATCCAAACATCAGACCTCCACTAGCTTCACGTTCCTCTCCTTCTGTTCTTATTTCCTTTTCCAGAATCCAGGGAAATTCTCATGTAATGGGGCTGGCTTCCCCTCTGGAAAAATCTCTCTCCGTTATCCTGTGAGAAACAGTAGCTAGCTAGATCCAGCATTTTAACCTGGTAGAAGCGAATGAAGGGGCAGGGGGTGGGGGCGTGGGCACAAAAATCAGGCAACAGAAAAAAATTTTTTCTAAACATAGTATGACCCAAACTTAATCAAGAACCAAACGGATAGAGACTTCATCATACCACGGATCTGAACATGCCACACATGTGCTCTGTATTGTACATGTCACTTAGTGCCAATGACCACCGAAGGCTTCAGGTCAGATTTAAGATTTATCTGTTAGCACCTACAGTGTTTTGACTGCACTTACAAAGCGTATGGCTCTTACAGAAACATATGGTTCCATTACATACCGCTACCATCACTTTTTAGTAAAAAAAAAAAAAAAAAGGGTCAAATCGTAAAATGTCAAATAAAGGGTCAAATGTAAGGGTCAAATTGGTGTATCTATCTCTGGATTGCACTGTATTAGCACGTCTCGTTTTAGAGAGCTGGACTACAAAAGCTGGCCATACAGCCCAGAGCGGTTTGAATGAGCGTCCCACACAGGTTCAGGTATTTGAGTACTTGGTCTCCTGTTAGCGCTGATGTTTGGGGGGTGGTGTAAGAGTTCCAGCTTTGCTGGAGGACCAGCTTTAAGGATGGAAGGCCTCAGGACACTTCCAGCTCACTCTCCCTGCTTTCTGTTTGTGGCTGAACTCTCAGCTTTGGCCATCATTTCCTGTCACAGTGGATTATTTTCCCTCTGGAATCACAGTAAACTCCTTCTACACGGTACTTTTGGTCCCGGTGGTGGATCACAGCAACTGAGAGGAGCTAACGCACTGTCTGTTCCCACTGAAGAGTCAAACATCAAAGTGAGTCTGATTCTGCTTATAAAGAGATACTGGGTATCGAACACCACCCGGATAATAAAGGGAAGCTGTTTAAGGGGTATGTGCTGGACCGGGCAGTGGTGGCACACGCCTTTAATCCCAGCACTTGGGAGGCTGAGGCAGGCGGATTTCTGAGTTCGAGGCCAGCCTGGTCTACAGAGTGAGTTCCAGGACAGCCAGGGCTATACACAGAGAAACTCTGTCTCAAAAAAAAAAAAAAAAAAAAGAGTGGGGGGTATGTGCTGGGACTGACTTTGCACACTGTGAAAGATTAAGTGTGAAATTTACAGGTAAAAGCACTGGTGTTAAGTTTGACCAGACCTCACAGAGGAAAGAGGAACAACCCCATAAGTTACCCTCTGACCTCCGCCCAGGCAGCACGGTACATACCCATCTATACTCACACGTACACATCATACATACATAATAATAAAATTCAAATATTAAAACTAGGTGATCTCTAGATTTTTAAAAAGAAGAAAAATTCTCCTCTAATTAGAAAAAAAAAATCGAAGAAAGGGGGCGGGAGGAGCGAGGACTTGCCTTATCATGCCTGATCATAAGAGACGTCCTGGAGCCGAGGGCGGAGAGGATGCCCGCAATCTCCACGGCAATGTAACCGGCACCCACGATGACGCTGCGGCTGAAAGGAAAGCAAAGGGCGACCGTTTGTTTCTTAAACTGGTTTGGAATGGCTTTAGATGTACAGACTCACAGGTCTCCCTCAGGCTCTCTGCTCAATCTCCCCAACAGTTAACATTTTATGAGCAACGTGGTGGCGTGCGCCTGCGATTCCAGCCTGAGGAAGCAGGGGCAGCCTGGTGTGAGGTCTAGGCCATCCAGAGCTACACAGCAAGACCCTCGTCACAATCAGAACAAAACAGAACTCTCCCTCATAGAAGAAAGATGTTTTTATTTGACATGTAAGTTCCTCGTGTCCTGTTTTCGTTTATTAATTGTTTTAGAGACATTCTCTGTATCCCAGTCGGTTAATGGCTAATACGTAGCTGAGACTGGTCCTGAACTCCTCCCAATTTCCATCCATAAATTCAACGGAGCCATTATTTTCAGGGCTGGGGACTTCTCCTTGGTCATTATTCAGTTCTATTAATCCTTGTAGCGCGATCAAAGGCCAATGTAAGAGAGCCGTTTTAAGTCAGGCATGGCGGCTACTTCCAGTAATCCCGGCATTTGGGTGGCCCCGATGCAGTCGAACGCGACTTCCTGAATTCATTTTGATTTAAGAAAAGAACTTAAGCCTCGCTAAATGCTTGAATGAATGTCTGAATGTCGGAGAAAGGCTGTTGCTCAAGGCTTACTTCCAGGCTGAGACAGAAAGATTTTCAGGCTATAGGTTTTCCAAGGCTCCCAACATGCCCCGCCTACTGTTGCAACACACGGGAAAGTATGAGGAGCAAATGAACCATCTTCCAGTACTTTCCATAGAAGTTCCAGCCTACAGAGGCTTCCTGGCCTGGCTGAAGGATAAAGAACCCAAATGGCCGCAAATGACCAGCGAGGACCCTCTCACCCTAAAATCCGAGCACAACCCAAAGCTTCCATCCTAAGACCTAGGAACAGCCCCGTCCATCATTCCTCCGTCTCTTCTTTTCTGTGTCTCCCCCACTTTTGCTTCTCTCGCTCTCTCTCTCCACCCTCTCTTTCCTTTTGGACACTGAAGTCCTGCACTGTACTAGGTAGTACACTAGACAGGGCGGGTAGTGGTTTCTGCTCTCAAAGATCCCTTTATGATGGTAATAGGGTAAATGACCCAGGGCCCTTTCCAAACTAGATACACCTCGGCCACTGAGCTGTGTCTCCAGCCTTTAAAAGAAAAAAAAAAAAATTAAAGACTGGATTTGCCAAATGGCCAAGGTTGGCTTTAGTCTGTTCACTGGGGGAGCTTGAATTTTCAATCCCATAGCTTCAGCCTCCAGAGGAGCTGGGCTTATAAATCCACACACAAGGCCCAGCCCATGAGGAATTTCTAAAGAAAGAAATGCACCCTGACGTTTGTCAAAGAGGAATACTTGAAAGCAGAGAGCTTAGAAATGACTGTGGATGCCTGAAAGACTGGTATTTCTGCAGAGGTTGGGGATCAGGTGCAATGGACAGGTTGCCATCACATGGCTTTCTCTGAGAGCTTCGAGCAGCCCAGAGCTTCCCATTGGCTTCCACCGCCACCTCCACCTCACCTCCTGTCACTGCGGTGTACACTGGAAATGATTCTTCACAGTTCCACATCCCAAAGCAACCCCTTTCTACCTCATAATGCCTTGATACTCACTACCACATGCAGCCTTCCAGGGGGCTCAAGCTACCCACCCCATCCGGCCAAAAGCCCCCAGGGCATATATGGAACCATGCAGGGCACAGCATTGGTACCTCACATATAGGATTTATTCAGGACTATAATTTATGATTTTAAAAAATCTTACAAGAGAAAAAAAAAAGAATGAAAAACAATCCCTAACAAACAGCTTTAGAGGGAGGCAAGATCTTTCTAGGTAGCCCAGGCAGGCCTTGAACTCACCATATAGCAAAGTTATCCTCCTGCTTCAGCCTTCCAAGTAAACCAGGAGCACAGTGCCACAACTGGTTTTTTTTTATTGTTAATTTGAGACAAGGGTTGCTTCAGGTCACCCAGTCTAGGCTGGAATGTCTAGATTCCAGCCATTCTCCACTCTGGCCTCCTAGGGAACTGGGGACCCAGGCAAAGGCACGATGCTTACCTCAGCTGTTAATTTCCTCCCGTTCCCAGAGCCTTCTTGTTTAACGGCCTGAATGAATTCATTCATCACCCTTGTATTCATATCATTAAAAGTGTATTAAGTAGTTCTAAAGTACGTAATGGGCACGCAGCTGTAATCAAGCTTTCTGGGGGTGGGTCTGAGTGGACATATATATATCATCCGAACACAGCTGAGTAATGACCGTCTTGGATGGGTCTGAGTGGACATACATATATCATCCGAACACAGCTGAGTAATGACCGTCTTGGATGGGTCTGAGTGGACATATATATATCATCCGAACACAGCTGAGTAATGACCGTCTTGGATGGGTTGCATCACCACTGTGAAACCCACACAGTAAGAGTAGATCATGCTGAGACAAGTGAGTCAACTGAGGTTGTGAATTCAAGACAGCATGGGCAACTCAGAAAGGAAGGCGGGGTGGAAAAGCATGAACCGGGTCCCCAGGAGAGAGAGAGAGAACAGCATGCCTGAAGTCAGATCTGCTCACCTGGGCAAGTCTTCCAGCTGAAAGAAGCCGTCACTGGTTATTCCAAGGCTGGCACCTATGTAGAGAAATACCAGAGAGTGATAAACATACCACTTAGCCTTATGTTCCAGGGATGAGATAAGGGTGTCACATTGTAATCTAGATTGACCTGGGACTTACTATGTAGCCCAGGCTAGCCTCAAACTCATGGCAACCCTGTTAGATTTGGGGTATGAGCTGCCATGCCCGGCCTGAACACAATTTATTCAAGAACCGAACAACTCTCAGAAAATGTACTGTTTTGACAGTTTTGCTAGACCCCTACTGAGGAGGACATGTGTTTCTAAAGTCTACATTTTACATTTATTTCAAGAAATAGGAACAGTGATGGATAAGTAAATTTAGATTCCCTGAAGGACCACGCTCATGTCAGCATCATGAACAGACTGCCAGCTCTGCTCTGCCTCCAACCGCAAGCAAAGGCAGGAAGCCAGCAGCTCAGTCTCCAGTTACCTCCTTCATCTTCTTTGTGAGATAAGGCCTCTCTACACAGCCCTGGCTATTCTGAAACTCACTTTGTAAACCAGACTGACCTCAAACTCGCAAGAGAGCTGCCTGCCTCTCCCTCCCAAGTGCTGGGCTTAAAGGCGAGCACCGCCACCCCCGGATTCCATCATTTTTCTTCAAGACTCCACACAGAGTTGCGGTGCTAATTTCCTCCTCAAATAGCCCAGTTCCATATTCACACCTGTCCTGTCTCATAATTTTTCTTTCCGAATTTGTCCCTTTTCTGCAACACTCGAGGCCAGAACTTCAAATTTCAGAGTTTTTTCAGAATTGGGACTATGACTATGGGGGCATTTATTATTATTATTATTATTATTATTATTATTATTATTAATGTGAACAGGTGACCCTGGGCTGTGTAAGAAAGCAGGCTGAACAAGCCATGGGCAGCAAGCCGGTCAGCAGTGCTCCTCTGAGGTCTCTGCTTCAGCTCCTGCCTCCAGTTCCCACTTTTGAGTTCCTTCCCTGACTTCCCTTCATGATGAACTACAGTCTGTGAGGTGAAATAAACCTTTGCTTTTCCTTCCCAAGTTGCTCTTGGTCACGGTGTTCTATAGTAGCAATAGAAACACCAACTAAGACAGGTGTCTTAGGAATGCAGCCCAAGATTGAACTGTGCATAATAAACTGGGCGTGATGGCACAGGCCTGTAATCCCAGCACTGGGGACAGAGGCAGGAGGATGAGGAATTCAAAGTCAAGAGTGGACTAGAGGCCAGTCTGGACTTCAAGACTTATCTGTATGGGGTGGGGAAAAGTAACTATTTATACAACATTTTAAATTAATTTTATACAGGAAATAAAAGTTTCCTGGGCAGAATTTTCTGACTGTGGTATGTTAACACTCAAAAAAAAAAAAAAAAAGAAAAGACACAACAAACCTGTTAAGACTGAGCACTTCACATTTTCACCTTTTAGAATACAGACACTAACCTACCCATTTAGAATCAAATCTCAAGCCTCTCACCATTGTAGTGAAAGGAACTGAGTGTCTTCCCCTAGTAATCCAGATGCGGCCTCGAGCTGTTGATGTGTGTGTGACTCTCTCTAACACCTGCCTCCTTAGCTCATCGGTTAACGGATTTACTGCACCTACCAAATCTAAGTGCCATGAGCACGTGGCACGTGGCACACCCTGGCTGGTCTCGGTGAAAAGTACGTTTTGAAACGCATTGTTAAATCGGTAACCCACAGCACCTGACTTTTTGTGGGCTGTCTTCAGCCCGTCCCCCCTAATCCAAGTAGAAGGCTCGGCAATCGCCTTCGGAAGGGGGCTGAGAGCTCCTGCAGACAACAACCTCTCAACAGTCTCCAGCCTTGAAATTCTCTGAATAGTCACTGTCAGCTTAGTTTCTGGATATCACACACATCCTGTCACTGATTATAAGTCAATAATGAATTTGCCGCAGTTACGGAAGTCACCTCTCTCTGGCTTGACGAACTCTCCGTAATCTCACTGTAACTTAATTATAGGTGGGTCTCAAATCGCTTGCTTCAAGATGTCCAGGGCTTGTCAAACTGACTGAATTGGCTGAAAATCCCTCAAAGATGTCTTTATTACAGACTCTTCTGGCTGTTCTCTCTCAGCACAGAATTTTATCTGAGAGTCCCTTTCTGAGGAGTCTCCCTGGTTCATGCCTGTCTCTACGGATCCTCCCCTTGTCAGAACACAGTCCAGGGATGGTGTCAGTCTTCTTAACCCTCATCGTGAATTGTCTGATGCTCTGAATAAAGCTGGCTATTGCATGAGACTTAGACTAGTCTGACTGGCTTTTAGGCCCTGCTAGCGCACGCTCAAACCACCAATTAAACACCTACCTCAAGACACTCTATATCTTCACCATCCGGTGCCTTACAAAGCTTACTTTAGAGGTTGCACTGGTTTTTATTCTCTCGATTAATGAAGGAATATTTTAAATCATTTAAAAAGTGAGGCTGTGCCTCAGGAGGTACAATGTATGTGGTTGGCATGTGTGAGATTCTGAGTTCAATCCTCAATACAGATAGATAGAGAGACGGACGGATGGACACAAGCATCAGGCGAGTACCCTCGAGGGGAGAGTGAGATCAGGACTCTCCCCATCCCATGCCTCTACCCCGCTCTCTACAGACAGATCCATTGTTAGGTTTCTATTGCTATTCTTTTGCTTTTTATTAAAAAAAAAAAACTTATTATATGGGTAGAAGTGTTTTACCTGCATGCATGTCTGTGCACGCTGTGTATGCAGTGCCTGCAGAGGCTAGAAGGGGTGTTGGATCCCCTAGAACTGAAGTTAAAGTTGGTTGGAAGCCTCCATGTGGGTCCTGGGAACTGAACCCCAGTCCTCTGCAAGAGCAACAAGTGCTCTTAACCACTGAGCCACCTCTTTAGCCCTACCATTATATTTTTTTAAAAGATCACATATATACTTATTTTATATACATTATTATATATATTTATAGATGGGTGTTTTGTCTGCATACACGTTTACCATGTGCATGCAGTGCCCGCAGAGGCCAGAAGGGGGCACTGGCGTCCCTGGAACTGGTGTTATAGATGGTTGTAAGCTACTGTGTGGGTGCTAGAAACTGAACTCAGTTCCTCAGGGAGAGCACCAAGCGCTCTTTAACAGCTGGGCCATCCCTCCAGTCCCCCACCCCCATTAGGTGTTTAATGGTTTATTTTTTGCACTGCTGGAAACCGAATCAAGGCCTCATACCTGCTAAGCATGCACTCTGGCACAGAGCGATAACCCAAACCACCACAGGAATATCCTACCACGTATTTTATTTTAATTACTCTACTTTTCAGAAGGGAAAGCATGCTTATTTAGAGTGCCACAGAAGGCAGCAAGCACAGCAGGAACACCAGAACTGGCAGCTCCTTGCCTGTACTCTTTGGGGTACAGTTTAGTTTTTGAGACAGGATCTTATTCTGTGGTCCAGGCTGGCCTCAAACTTAAGGCAATGCTCCTGCCTTGGTCTTCTGTAATGGTTAATCTTGACCATCAGCTTGCTGGATCTAGATCAACTAAGAGAAGAAGTACCTCTGGGCAGGTACTTTCCAGAAGGAGTAACAGGGAGTGTGATATACGTTATGTTGGTAAACTGTCATTTGCTGTTTGTGCTGTAGAGAAATGGATTCTGGGAGTGAGAAGGCCTCCCTCAACCCAGACTCAAGTGCTTATGTCAAGGGTCCCCCAAGATTCCCTGTCCTGGGTGAGGCTGAGTCACTGCCTCTCCGACTAGAAAGAACAGCTAAGGGTATTTAACTCTGTGCATTAAAAAAAGCTAGCTGACCACAAGAGGCTACTGCTTACAGTCTACCCCACCGCGTAGAAATCCCTGCAGCAGGAAGAAGCCAAAAGCTCGGCCAGGGAACTCCCAACTGGGAGCCCCAGGACAGCCATTTCCACAGGCTGTTGTAAGTGCCTGAATCGACAATGTTGCTTTTGCTTGCTCGCCCAGTTAAAATATTCTTAAAGGTTTCTGCTAGGTGTTACAGGCTTCTGATCTGATGATGGTTTGTTCTCTGCTCCATTACTATTTGTTTTTCTGCTTTTGCTTGCTGCATACTTAACAGATTCACTGTCTGGAAACTGAAGCTACATCTACCAGGATGAAGGGGAGAGTAGAGCTTTCTAGTGGTGGAGGCGAGGCTTTTCCCCTTCCCTCCTCTCCTTGCTGGTGAGTGCATCTACTCTGTTGTTCTCCTGCCGTTGCCACTGGGAACACAGTGACTTCAATCTGCCAGCATGGCCAGAAGCCAGAGGCTCTCTAGGAACCCCTGGGGCCTACAGTGCCAGAATGGAACTGCTGAGACATCCAGCCTTGTAGACTGAGCATCTGTCCAGCCTACAGACAACCTTGTGAGCGTCTGGTGCCTGTTAGGCCGGAAGCTGTTGGATTCACAGGCACTGCAGATAGTTCTGAACCACCTTGGTTGCCTCGGAAACTGAACTTGGGTCCTTTGCAAGAGCAGCGAGTGTACTTAACCACTGAGCTATCTCTTCAGACTTAACTTTTCTTTTTTTTTTACCCACTGAACAATGAATACTGGAATCTGTTTTCACAGGGCTATGCCCACCCAGTATTCCTAAGCAAATATTACATAACTTGGAAATGGTATCTTTGTATTTTGTTTTCTAGCTTTGGGGGTTATGAACCCTGCTTAAAATTCCAGAGAAAGACAAAAAGGAAGGTAACAATTAAAAAAAAAAAAAGAAAAGAAAAAAATGTAAGCCGTGGCACATGCCTATAATTCTAGTAGAGACAGAAGAATCAGGATTTAAGGTCATCATTGATTATATATTAAGTTCAAAGCCAGCCTGAGTTACAGGAAACTATCTCAAAAACAAAACAAATAGGAAAAGATCTGTCTAAAGGCATAAATGCACACACTCAAAGTGCTCCATAAGCAAAATTATCACAAACTTTGAAGCCAGTCCATGAGAGTTGAAAAGATGTATAAAGTATGCCCACTGTTATGACTTTTGTTAGTTGTCAATATAAAAGAATGTTTAATAATCTGGGAGATGGGGCCTTGGGGCATGTCTATGAGGAATTACCTGACTGGGAACATCCACCCACTGTGGGTAGTGCCATTCCCTAGCCAGGGATGAATGGAGAAAGAGCTGGGCAACAGCAAGCATGCACTCACTACTCTGTTTCATTACTGTGCTGTGCCCAGCCCCCTCAAGTTCCTACTGCTGTGACTTTCCTGTGTGTGGGGGACTGCAACCTCAACCATGGTGAAGAATAAAATTCCAAAGAGGGACAAAAAGGAAGACAATAATAAAAAAAAAGAAAAAAGAAAAAATGTAAAGCCAGCATGGTGGCACATGCCTATAATTCCAGTAGAGACGGAAGAATCAGGATTTAAGGTCATCATTTCTTGCTTAAGTTGCTCTTCATCAACAGTATTTTAGCACAGCAATAAAAAATTAAGACACTCACTCTCCGAGACGTCTAATCGTATGTGGGAGAAAGAATGACTAATGCTCTTGAGAGTGAACAGCGTCTGTTCATGAGTCACCGCTGACTCTTGGCCCAACATATAGACACATGGCCCACAGGAACACCTCAGAGATTCCTGGATGATTTCGTCTATCACATCTTTCTAAAACCATGGATCAGGGGAGAGCGATACCCTTACAGGACTTCTCTCTCTTGAATAGTTATCGTCTATCGAGTCCTTGAAACAATAACTTGCCTGACAACCCCAGGTTGGCAGCACTCTGTGCCACACCAGGAGTGACAGGTGAACGTTCTCCATGACTTCCCTTGCTGAGTCCTGGATCACTGTTAATTACCACTTAGCGAAATCTAGTCTCCAGGGATCGTTTTTTTTTCCTGACCTTTCTCAAGACAGAACCAGTGTAGGCTGATCCCAGGACATGGCTTGTAAACTCCCTGACCGCACTGGCTTTTGGAAGACTGACCTGGGATCTCGCTCTCGTGAGGAACGGTGGGCACACCGCCTGTGGCGATCAGGATGTGCGGAGCAGTAAACTTTTTCCCGTTGACTTCCACCGTGGGCTGAGGACCGTCTGCAAATGTTGCATAGCCGTGGATGATTTCTATGTGGGACTGCGGAAGGAACACTGGTGTCAGCCATTTTATAACTTAGAAAGCCAACAAATGAAAAACACCAAGTTGGGAATAGTGGTACCTTCCTAAAATCCAGCACTTGGGAGATAGAGGCAGCAGGATCAGGTACTTAGGGCTACCCTTGGTTACACAGCAAGTTCACTGGCAGTTTGAGCTAGAGGAAACCCTGTTTCAAAAGATATCTATTCTGCTCAATAATCAACTCCTAATTTCTTCACTAAAAAAATAGCCAAGGCTACCCTCCAACACCATTATGTAGTCACGATGTCCTCAAAACCCTGACCCCTTTGCCTCTACTCTTTTTTTTTTTTTTGGTTTTTTCGAGACAGGGTTTCTCTGTGTAGCCCTGGCTGTCCTGGAACTCACTCTGTAGACCAGGCTGGCCTCGAACTCTCGAACTCAGAGATCCACCTGCCTCTGCCTCCCAAGTGCTGGGATTAAAGGCGTGCGCCACCACCGCCCGGCTTGCCTCTACTCTTGAAGTGTTAGGATTACGAAGTTCAGCACTACCCCTGGCTTAAGCAGCCCAAATTTTACTTAAAGTGGCAATCCTCCTGCCCCAGTCTTTCACAGCTGGGAATATAGGTGAGTACCATCGCACAGTGCTTCACTGAAGATTCTGACTTTGTGTCTGTAAATAGTAAGATGGATTCCATTGTCCATTCTTGGACTTCCTGACTGGTAACGAATACTCAGAACTCACTGCCAGTCAGTCAGAAGTGAATGACTCGGACAAGTAACAGTGCTATCCTGGGTTAAAACCAAGAAAACAAAAACCATGCCAGTCAGTCCAAGGAAAAAGACAGTATTTTTGACTCCAAGGGTTGAAGGTGAAAGCCTTACTCACAATGAGAAGACTGAAAAGTGATGATACGCCAGAGAAGGAGCTGAAGAGGAGTACACGGGAGAAATGAAGGTGAAAGGAACAGACACCAGAGAAATACTCTGGCCAAGAGACGAGATGCAACCTTTTGCTTTCTTTTGTGGGATGAGGCTGGAGAGATGCCTCAGCGGTTAAGAGCACTGACTGCTCTCCCAGAGGTCCTGAGTTCAATTCCCAGCAACCACATGGTGGCTCACACCATCTGTAATGGGGATTGGATGCCTTCTTCTGGTGGGTCTGAAGACAGTGACAGTGTATTCATACACATAAAAATAAATAAGTAATTCTTTGGTGGGAAGAAAGTTACAAAACAAAAAAGCAAAACAAACTCCACAGCAATGCTCTGCCGTGGAAATGAACAGTATTGCTTAGCCTGCTCTCGGGGAGCCCTGTACCAGGGGTCAATCTGAGGGCAGCCAGCAAGCTTCAGCCAGCTGTGACCTACGTCCTGGCACACAAAGGTAATTATTAAAAGCTAAAGGAGCCACCTAAGTATGCTCGTACAAAGGAATGAGTCAACATTTTGCAGCATGTCTGGGGCTGAATTCTCTCCTCCCTCCCAATCTCCCCTCCAGGCCTGTTCCTGCAGGCACCGGGCTTAATTAACTAAATTTTAGTTAATGCCAAACCCACAGGCACCCTGTTGTAACAACCTTTCTTAGGGGGCAGGGAGTTCGCCCTGGGAGAAAAAGGGCCGAGAGCACAGGTCTGCCCCGCCTGGGACGTGGCACCGAAGTTTCTTTTGCCATGGAACCCTACAGCCGCTATCACCACAAGGTCAGCACAAGCTCCACACACACCAAGACTGAGTTTTGTAAAATGCTGATTTCTCAATAACCTCCTAACCTCCAACAACTTTCCTGTCTTTTTGTTGTTTTTTGAGATTTACTTATTTTTCTTTTACCTGCATGAGTGTGTCGCTGCGTGCTGCCTGCATGGGCATCACACATGCACAGTGCCTGCAGAGGTCAGAAGAGAGCAGAGGATCCCGAGATAAGAACTACCACTGTCAGTCACTGTGGAGGTGCTGGGAACTGAACCTGCGTCCTCTTAACTGTGAGCCATCTCTTAATGTCCATCTTTTTCTTAAGATTTAGTTATCCCCACTAAAAAAAAAAAAAAAATCCCAATGGGAGCTGGACATGGTGGCACATGCCTTTAATCTCAGCACTCAAGAGACAGAAGTAGGCAGATTGTTGTGAGTTCAAGGCCAGCCAGGGCTATATTCTCAGATCCTATAAAGGGGAAGAGTGCTGGGGAGATGGCTTAGTGGTTAAGAGAGCTTACTGTTCTTCCAGAGGACGAAAATTTGGACTTTAGCACCTACATCAGACAACTCACAACCACCTGTAACTGCATCTCCAAGACATATGCGTGCGTGTGCGCATGTGCATGCGTATACACACACACACACACACGTATACATACATGCATTGCGCACACTCCTGTGTGCACACACACATATACATAAGAATAAACTTTAAAAAAAGTTTCAGGAGAAGGAGGGAGAATAAATATTTGCTGTAGGCAAATACACCTTTGTCTAATTTTCTTTCTTTTTTTTTTAAAAGATTTATTTATTTAATGTATGTGACTACACTGTCACTCTCTTCAGACACACCAGAAGAGGGCATAAGATTCTATTACAGATGGTTGTGAGCCACCATGTGGTTGCTGGGAACTGAACTCACGACCTCTGGAAGAATAGTCAGTGAGTGCTCTTAACCACCGAGCCATTGCTCCAGCCCTGTCTAATTTTCTTGATAAGAATTTACTTACAAAACTAAATTTCTGAGTGGACTGTAAGAAGCTGTTCTGACCGACACTGGATTTTTCAGCTTGTGCTCCTGGCTTTGCCAGCACAATGCTCTGTCAATCTGTCTCTCCTGGTTTTGGTTTCTGACGTAACTGGAGGGACAGACCTACTCAAGATGCACATGTGAGTTGAGACCTGGTCTATAGAGCTGGCATACACGAGTTGTAGAAAAGAGACTGGCCTACTGGGTCAAAGGCCAACTAGATCAGAAAGGTCAGCTTCCAAATTATTTATAGAAATAACAAGACACATCCGAGGCTACGCTTTTGTCTGGAGATCTGGCAGCTTCTCCGATGTCAAATGGCTCTCTCACCAGGTTCAGAGGCCAGCACACACACCTTGGTTAAATTGTTTTGATAGATGGTGTTCAGGCGGCTCACATAAGCATCCCGTTTCTCCTTGATGACACTGTAAAGAGACCGAAGTCAGTTCTCAGAAACAGTACTTTCTTTCTTCACCCAGTAGCCAGGGTACCAGCCTTTGGCGCGACTGTCAACGAAGAATGAAGTTTGCAACAGTCTGAAGACAAGCGCCCTCCACTGTCCCATGTCACCTGCTTCCCAGGTGTTGTGGTCCTATTCCATTCTGGAGCATGCACAGATGGCATCTACAATACCTATGCCTCTTTCTGTGCAGAAAATGAGGAGATGGGCCAGGAAGATGGCTCAGTAAATAAAGATACACACTGTCGTTGGGTGTGGTGGTACATTCGTTCAATCCCAGCACTCAGGAGGCAGAGGCAGGTAGTTCAAGGCCATCTTGGTCTACAGAGATAGTTCCAGGATAGCCAGGGCTACACAGAGAAACCCTGGCTGGATAAAAACAAAAATAAAAGGTCCACACTGGCAACCTGATGACCCCAGTTCACAGCCCAGGACCCACAAGATGGAAGGACAGACCAATCCCACAAGTTTTCTGACTTCTACATATGTGCTGCGGCGTGCATGCGTGTGTCAAACACACACAACATAAATAAATGTAAACATGACAAAACAAAACAGGAGAGTCGTTATGTCATGGGACATGATGGACTTTAAATGAATAGATCTGTTAAAACACTGTGGGAAGTTGATGGCTCCATTAGTGCCAATTAGAGAATTCCACACAGAACTGTCATATTATCCAGAACAGACCTGGAAGAACTGAGAACACTGTCTCCAACTCATGACCTGCACACCACACCAGTATTCGTGGTGGCATGATTCATGACGGCCACAAAGTAGAAACAACCCAAGGTGACTGCACAGGTGACTGGTACATTGTACAAAGGATTACTACTCAGTAGTAAAGAGCGTGGGCTGTGGATGCCAATTACAGCCAGTCAAACCTTTAAAAAGTGACACTAGCCCGGCAGCGGTGGCACACACCTTTAATCCCAGCACTTGGGAGGCAGAGGCAGGTGGACCTCTGAGTCCAAGGCCAGCCTGGTCTATGGAGTGAGTTCTAGGACAGCCAGGGCTACACAGTTAGACCCTGTCTCAAAAAAAAAAAAAGCAACCAAACCAAAGGGTGACAGTAATCAATATAAATCAGGCATAAAAGATTATATGATTCTACTAAGGATCTAGCACAGGTCAGGTCAGCTTCACAGACAGCAGAACATGTTTCATGGGCTGGCAGGGAAGTAGGGAATGAAGAGTTATTGGTTAATATTGTTCGGGATTGTGGGAAAGTTCTAGAAATGGGAAAGTGGTGCTATCTGCACAACAATGTATGTGCTTAAAGCCAAACTGTGTATTTGCAAAGGATTAAAATGGTCAATTTTACACTGTGCATAAATACAGACACACATATAAAACCACACATATGGTAGTAGGGACTGAACCCAGGCCCTTACACACATCTAGGCAAGAACTCTTAAGACCAAGCGACAGCCTCAGCCCTGTATGCATTCGGACAAAGTAAGCCCCACCTCTCAAAGCACGGCGAGGTGTCAGAAATACCCATACTGCAGATGGATCCCTGGAAACTCTGATACTTACTGCCAATTGAATTTGCCCTCACAGCTCTGAAAGCCGTAGTCCACGTGGTCGTGCATGAACTCTGAGTGCACAGCTGTGTTCCACATTACCTATAAAAAAAAGAATCAAAAATAATCATGCTTGAGAGACGAATAAAGACAGAAATCCCAAATAAACTATAACAGATTAAAAAAAAAAACCGACAAACCTAAATACATTAAGAGAGAAGATTTAGGATCTGACTAGATGGAATTTATAGTGGACTCTGCAATACCTGAGAAATGGACGCCCATCGTTACATTACCCAGCCTATAAACACGATACAAAGTGGAAGATTAACCAGCCTCGTAGTGGTCCCTTTAAAGTTTTTTATTATTGCTTATACTTTTTGTTTACTATTGCTTATCTTCCTGTTTTAAATTTTATATTTTTGTAGGTTTTTGTCCATTTTCACTCAGCTCCAGGAACGGTGAGCTGTCATCTAAAATAAACCGTTTCCTCTTCAAGTCTCAGCCACAGAAAGCAAGCAGGGACAACTCGGAACTGGTGCGTTACTCTGATCACGATTTAGTGAATACGAACCCGGAGTACTGAGGGAAGGAGAAATTAAGGATTACCTTTTTAGGTACACATCCAACATTCACCTAGGGAAAGAAAATTAAAAAGACAAAGGTTAAGAATACTCCATCCGAGTCATCCAGACACCTGCATGAACGAGCACCAGTCACCAGGCATGCCTGAGACCAGACACTAGTGACAGTCACAATGAGCTGGATCTCACAGTTACCTCCATTTCCTACCACAGTTAGAAAATCACGCTGTTCCTCATGTGACAGAGAGAACATCTTCATACATGTTTCTCAAAAGAGGGGGCAGGCAATGAGATGAGAAAGGCAATGGGGCCATTTAAGCAGCTGGCTTAGGGACTCTCTGTGAACTCACTAAGTACACAAGTATGACAGCCCCTTGACGAAAGTGCTAGTGGGAACCTAGCTCTGTCTCCCAGACCAAAGCAGTGAGAACCACCTTATTCACGGACACAGAACACAGCTTGGTCATTTCCTAGCACAAATGAAAACACAGCTTTAAGACTGCATTATAAAAAAATAAAAAGGCTGGGCGGTGGTGGCGCACGCCTTTAATCCCAGCACTTGGGAGGCAGAGGCAGGCGGATTTCTGAGTTCGAGGCCAGCCTGATCTACAGAGTGTTCCAGGACAGCCTGGGCTATAAAGAGAAACCCTGTCTCGAAAAATCAAAAAAAAATAAAAAATAAAAAAATAAAAAAATAAAAAGAAAGAATACATTTGTAAAGCCTTGAGAATAAGTGTCTGAACCTCACCAGGCTTGGCAGCGCACCCCTGGAACCCCAGCTCTTGTGAGGCGCAAGCAAGAGGACCTGAAATTCAAGGATCCTTAGACACAGAGAAGTTTGTGTCTAGCCTGGGCTACATGAGACCTCGACTCAAAAAATAAAAACAAAACAAAGTCTGGCCCTCATTGAATGAATAACTGTTCTGTGTGTACCAGCAGAAGAGTGGGCTGCTTGCAAAGGGAAAACCAAACTGAGCTCAGCTTTTAAGGGCAAATTATAGATCTCCTGGCAGTCTACACTTGTCACCTGACACACATTCCAGATACTCTTTAGCTGCCTTAACTACCAAGTAGGAAGCAGTGATGTTATCTTGGCTGCTGTAAGATCTAAGACTTAAGATATCAATAGTGAATCCCTAAAACCAATCATGGTCGGACCAGTGAGATGGCTTAGTGGGTAAAGACGCTTTTGCAGTCAAGTTTGACTACCCGAGTTTGATACTCAGGAGCTACCGACAAGATAGAGCCAACCAGCACGAGCTGTCCTCTAACCTTCACACACGTACCTCGGCACCTGCATCCATGCACAAATGCACACACACACAAATAAACAAACGCAGTATTTAAAAAACAAATCAGCGTGTTCACAGTACCAACTGTGAACTTCTGGTGCCACACATTTACAAACTGGCGAACAGTCACCAAAAAGCACAAAATTATAAGGTATGTGGCATGAAACCTGGGATGTTGAGTCACCATTGCTAAGGAAATGGGAGGAAACCTGAACAGATCCCATACACTGAATTGGAGGGTTAGGCGCAGTGGTACAAGCTTGTAATCTCAGCTTTGGGGAGCTAAGGCAGGAGGATTGGGAGTTCAAGGACTGCAGGGTTACATACAGCGTTCAAAGCTAGCCTGGGCAATACATGAGATCTTGTCTCAAAAAGCAACAGGAATTAGAGCTACTTTTGTTGTTTGATGTCACAGGTCTCACTTCGTAGCTGAGGTGGGGGCAATCAGGTCTACTTGAAATACCAGAGCTGGGGAAGTGGGGACAGTCAGGTCCCTGGGTTTGCTGGCAGCCCAACCCATCCTAATTGGAAGCCTCAGGTACCAGTCAAAGGCCTGTTTAAAAAGCAAAGTGGACAGCAGCTGAGGTCCACCTGAGGTTGACCCTCAGGCTTTAAACACCTGTAGTAAAACAAACACACACACATACACACACACACAAACACACACACACACACACAAACACACACACACACAGAAGGCCATCTACTAAAATGCTTTCCGTTTATCAGATTGCTAAGAAACTTTCAAGACTTATCCAACCAACATTAGCAACCACATCCCATTTGGTCCATCTATGCTATACAGACATGTATACAGTACACAGACATGTATACAGTACATACACACACTGCAGACATGCATAAAGAAAAGATGTCCCTTGAAGCCTAGTCCTAATTACAAAGGAAATGTATTCACATCCATCAGTGGCACAGTATCCCATTGCTGTATACTGAGTCTATCCAATACTTCTCAGCTATTTAAAACGACAAAGCAAATTCCTACGTGCTGTTACGGAGTGAATTCTAACATCCGGTAGCTCATCCTTCCTGAGGGAAGATATGTTCCAAGTCACCCAGAATATTTAAACTGGCCAGGGCACACCCTCTACAATGCTTTTCCCTATATATTCTCCCCTGTGATACAGTTCAGTTCAAAAAGAATCAGGTATTGACAGCAATAACTGATAATAAAATAGAACAATAAAATGATAACACTGTGATAAAAGTTATGTGAACTGGTCTTTCAAAATTCCCACCTCGTTGGGCTGGAGAGATGGCCAAGCAGTTAAGAGCACCGACTGCTCTTCCAGAGGTTGTGAGTTCAATTCCCAGCAACCACATGGTGGCTCACAACCATCTGTAATGGGATCTGATGCCCTCTTCTGGTGCGTCTGAAGACAGCTATAGTGTACACATATACATTAGATAAATAATATTTAAAAAAAAAATCCCCACCTCACTGACCACAGGTGCACTGCCTCTGCGGAGAGCAGAGCCGTGGAGGAGGGTGATGCCGGGTAATAAATGATACTGTGAGGCAAACAGAAAGCTTCGTGATAACAGTTACCCCACAGCCCCGTCTGAAGTGACAGGAAGTGTGCACATACGCACTCATTCACCACACTGAGGAGTCTGTTCAAGAGGGAGCTAAACATCAGTGGTGGTCCCCTAAGACACTTCCGGGTGATGCCAGAGCCCCACATTCCTCTGAACATATCCTGTCCCTGAGTGGCTCTGCGTCTGTGGACATATTCCAAGCATGCAATGCCGTTTTCTGGACAGGGAGAAAGTGGCCTTATTTTGCTCTTTGTGCTTTCTATAATGGCTCATTTTTTTCTCTTGTGTGAGTATTTATTTAGTTCCACATTTTGTTATTGCATGAGACAGGACTATGTGTTTCCTACACTGGCTTCGAACTGGCTATCTTCCTGCCTCGGCTTTCCAAATGCTGAAATTAGAGGTGGAACACCAACGTGCCCTGTTGGAATACAGTTGTTGTTTTCAATGTGGCTGGTTTATTTGCATGCGTGTTTATTTGCATGCGTGAGTGCTCATGTACCGACGGTGTGCACAGAGACCTGAAGAAGATGTCTCCTGCCCTCCATTACCACCCCCTCCACTCCTTTGAGGCAGTTTTCTCACTGATGGCAAGCCTCACATTTTCTTAGGTTAGAAATTAACATGCCCCAGTGACCTTCCTGCCTCGGCACAGATTACCCAGCTTAAAACCTGGGTACTTGAAGTCTGGTCCTCAGTCACCCCACGAGAACTACTAACACTATCTGTCCAGGGCCCCATAGGTAGGGGTGTGTGTGTGTGTGTGTGTGTGTGTGTGTGTGTGTTTTTACATGTGTATCAGGGTTTTAGAACTTATAGCTCTGCTGGTCACAACTATAATGCATCTACTTGGTGTCTCACACATCACAAGAAAACCGGGCTAGTCCTTAGGATACTTTCTACAGGTCTCTGTGTGTGGAACCTGGACCACACCTGTCTGGTGAAGGCCTTCGCTGGGACACTCTGGATTCAAAACCTGCCCAAGTATCGTCATCCTCTTCAGTGTTTGAAAGAGGCTGTCTTTTTGAAAAGTAATCTCCTATTCCTCCCATTTTCCAGATCCTACCTGCTAAAATTTACCTAGTGAAGTTTCATTATAATCGTACCGCTCACGAGTATCCTGTACCCAGAGAGTGAAGGAATGAATGATGCTTCCATATTCTCCCAAGTTACCAGGGTTTTGTTTGCTTATTTTCCTCTAGAAAGAGATGGGTCACTACCTGTCTAGTTTCGTTCTCAGACTTTTTTTTTTTTAAATTGGGCATGTAAACTGATGGAACTCAATATGGAAGTCACACACACACACACACACACACACACACACACACGCGCGCGCGCGTCATTGTACTTTGCTTTCATTCATCCCCGCTCCACCCCGCACTCTTCTCTCCCATCCCCACACCCTCCTCTTGCTGACTGTACTTGGAAAATTAGATTATATTTTTAAATAATTCCAGATGCTCAGTGTGGCCACAGGCCTTTAACCCCAACACTTGGGAGACAGAGGCAGGCGAATGAATTTGAGGTCAAGGCCAGACTGCTCTACACAGTAAGTTACAAGACAGCCAGAGTTACAGAGAAACCCTGTCTTGAAAAAAACAAAAATAGCCGGGCGGTGGTGGCACACGCCTTTAATCCCAGCACTTGGGAGGCAGAGGCAGGCAGATTTCTGAGTTCGAGGCCAGCCAGGTCTACAGAGTGAGTTCCAGGACAGCCAGCAGGGCTACACAGAGAAACCCTGTCTCGAAAAACCAAAAATAAAAAATAAACAAAAATAAATAAATAAATAAATACAAACATACAAACATACAAACATACAAACATACATACATACATACATACATACATACATAAAGCAGGAACCCATGGAAATGAGGGAAGTGTGCAGAATTCAAGCCCAGTAAAACCCAGAATCCTATGTGGCACTTTGGGCGCAGTCTTCAGGGCCAACACTGCAGGAAGGACTCTGTTAGAGTTGGAGCCTACAGTGTCTACATGCACCTCCTCCGTCTGACCAAGCTGAGGCTGTCTGCTGCTCCTCAACTCGGGTACTTCAGAGTCACGGGGACAGGAGAATGAGCTACTCCTAAGGAAGGAGGGTGACTGAGGCTTTTCAGATGCCAAGAGCAGGGGAGAGAGCTAACATCCTCTGGGAAGGGGAAGACCAAGCCCAGCGCCTTGGTGTGGTGTTTCACCTCAGACC